CTAGGTTTGGGGCCTTTACCCATTGGCCACCCTGGAGTAGGAATTGGGAGAGAAATTGTCCAGTGGATGGGTTCGAGAAGCCGACTGATTCGTAGATTGGGCTTGCCTCCATGTGGGGTCCGGAGCTCTGGGAACGGTTGGGACTGCGCACAGGACGCACCCCTAGAAATGCGAATGGGGCTTCTCTCTGCACACGCGCACCCTGGGCCAGGATGCCCCGACTCTGTCCCACAGCGCCGGCCCAGAGGGGGCGGGGGTCTGGGCGCTAAGCCTGGGTCCTTCCTCTGTGTTGGCCGCAGGCGGCCCAGATATTGGAAGGCAGGGAGCCAGGGCGCAGGCAGTCCCCGGGGTTGGGGAGTCTCCGAGGCAACACCGCGTCGCAACGCGCCTACCCAGACCCGGGCCCGAGTGCCGCTACCTCCCCTGTGGCCTGCACCTCTCTGCCCTCAGCCAAGGCCCTACCCGGTGTCGGCCCCAGCCCGGCCCAACCCACACTCCGCGTTTTGCCGGAGACCAAGATGTGGGCCTGGGGGTCTGGCCCGAGGCACCACCTGCGTGAGCGCGGGGGCGGAGTGGTGACGTCAACGGCGCAAGCGAGGCTGCGCGAGCCGAGATGACGTCAGCGGAGCCCCGGGCCGCCCGCGCACGCGTCCGTGCGTCAACGGCGCGCGGGGGCAGGGGCTGGGCGGGGCCGCGGCGAATGCATCTCCGGTCGCGGAGTGCCCTCTGCCGGCGCTCGGGGATTGCAGCCGAGCCGCGCCGCGCTCGCAGCGCGCCGGGCGCTTATCCGCGCTAGACCCTCCGCCTAGGATGTCCTTCCCGGCACGTCTGCATCTCTAACAGTCGCAGCCTACCCCATCCTGGCTCCCAAGTCTGCTTTTCTTTTCTCTTTTAAATGCTTTTTAACTTCTAATATGCCATATGATTTGCGTATTCGTTACATTGAATGTTTGATAAACGTCCCCACTGCCCCAAACCAGAGCCGGAATCTTGGTATTCCCCTTGATGGATCTTGTGCTTGGCATCCGATGAGCGCCTCCAAAACCTTGAATTCAAATGACCCGTGCTCCGCGGAGGCTTCTGGTCCTCCGCATTGACCCACATCCCATCTTGCCATCCGGCTGGCAGGTAGGACTGGAAGGAAACTACAACCCCCAGCATGCCGCGCGCGGGGCGCAATGCGTCGTTGCAATGTCTTGCGCGGCTCGTTGGGAGTCGTAGTTCGCGCGTGCGCCTTTGCCTGGACTCCTTCCCAGAAGTCCCCGGGCGTCGTCCTCCTCGTCCTCCAAGCTGCCTGCGTCCGGCCGGAGTCCGCTCGCAGCCGTCGCCATGCTACCCGTCGCAGTCCTCCGCCGCCCCGGCCTGCGTTCCCTCGGACGCCGGGCCCGCGCCTACGCCGAGGCCGCCGCTGCTCCGGCCCCGGCTGCGGGCCCGGGACAGATGTCCTTCACCTTCGCCTCACCCACGCAGGTTCGGGTGCCGGTCCGTCTCGGGACCCCGCCTTGGTCGACATTTCCAGCCCGGACCCGTAGTGGTCCGCAGTCGGAGACCCCAGCCTTCGGGTTGTCGATCCCCACTTGTTCCGCGCTCTGTGCTCCTCCCCGGTGTCGTCTGGAATCCGCGCTCCCCAGCCCCCGGGGCCCCGAGGCCCACAACCGCATCTGGGGCCGCTGACCCATGCCCCCTCCGCCTCGTTTGGTCCGGGTTCCGAGCCCCCCAGTCCCAGAGGGGCTGCCCCACACTCTTGATCTGCGCCCTACGCGCTTTCTTGGGGTCTGGAATCCGAGCCCTATACAGTCTTCCGAGTTCAGTAACCTTTCTCTGGAGTCCCAACGCCCAAGGACTGGACCGCCCCGTCCCGCAGGTCCCAGAGCCTCGGGCACTTGTCCTGGGTCGCTGCGCCTTTTGTGCTCTTACAGCATTTCTGTGTGGACGGGCTCTGCGCTAGATGCCGGTACTCAGGTGCTGCGGGGGACCGAAACTGAAGTCCCCGCCCCAGCGTGACCGCCTCTGGGTTCCGCATCCGTGTTCCCTCCCGCCTTTGACCGTTGTCCTGCAGGGGAGCCAGTCTCGAGCGCTGGAACACTGGGCTGCAGTGACGCATTCCCTGTGTGTTTTTTGCAGGTGTTTTTCAACGGTGCCAACGTCCGGCAAGTGGATGTGCCCACGCAGACAGGAGCCTTTGGCATCCTTGCGGCCCACGTGCCCACCCTGCAGGTCCTGCGGCCAGGGCTGGTTGTTGTCCATGCTGAGGATGGCACCACCTCCAAATACTTCGGTGAGTCCAGTGGGATGGAGCTGGGTAGGGGCCCCATACTTCATCAGGCTGGTCCCAGTCTCAGGTCATAGAGTTGATAAAAGAACAGTACATAGGGCAAACTTGGGGTTAAGGAGCTTGTAGGGAGGCAGGGTAGGGGTGGGGGACAGGTGTCTGAGAGACAAGTCAAATCCTATGCGGGAGGGGCCGATTAAGAGGAGGTGTAGGATCCTGGATCCCAAGAAGTGCTTCCCCAGCACAACTCGGAGGGACAGCCAGGATTCAAATTCAGCTCCCCGATCATCCCTGATCCGAGCTTAGCTGATGGACTGGTGGGTGAAGAAACAAGGTTCTATTCTGTGTGTCCAGCCCCCAGTGGGTGCTCCTGGGCCCCCTGTGCGTATTCCATTCTCTCCAGCTGTCTGTTTCCCATGTTAGGTTCTAGGGCTACCTGTGGAGCCACTTCTCTGGTTTGGGGGTGTTCGTGTCACCTACGACTGGGTGGGGAGGTCTTACGTCTTTCTCTTTCTGTAGTGAGCAGTGGTTCTGTCACCGTGAATGCTGATTCCTCAGTCCAGTTGCTGGCCGAAGAGGTTGTGACGCTGGACATGCTGGATGTGGGGGTGAGTGTCCCAGGAGAGACTGGTGTACCTAGGAGGCTGGGGTTGTCCTAGAGTTCATGGGCTTCAGGGAAGGGAACTGGAGTTTGGTGGAGGGGCAGGCACCAGGCTGGGTCGCTGCTTGGCTCTCACCCATTTGCCCACTTCCTGCAGGCAGCCAAGGTGAACTTGGAGAAGGCGCAGTCGGAGCTGTCAGGGGCAGCAGATGAGGCCTCCAGGGCTGAGATCCAAATCCGCATCGAGGCCAACGAGGCCCTGGTGAAAGCTCTCGAGTAGGCAGTGCGTGGTCCTTGCCAGCAGGGAAACCGAGGCCCAGAACTGGGCAGAGGATGTCCTGGGCAGGCTGAACCAGTTCGCGCGGGTCCAGTCTGACCGTGGGGGGGGTGGGGAGGAAGGTCAGCAAGCCGCCTAAAGGGATTTCCGTGTGGAGGGATTGGTCTTGCCAGAGAAGGCCGCCAGGGGGCAGCACGGTTCTAGTTTTCTGCCAAGAGCACGCCCCATCAAACCCAGGGAACAGGCTTCTTGCCAGGGCTGGCAGGCCTGGTGGCTGGGGGTGAGCCCAGAGACCTGCTCTGCTTTTTGAGGGGGGCTGTGTGTACCCCCCCACCATGGGCTCTCTTCCCACGTTCCAGCTCCCTCCCTCCCAACCTGATGTGCCACCCGCCATCCCTCTGACTCTGTAGACCCTGCCGTGGAGACTTCAGCTCCCAGTTACCTCCGTGGGACAGCTTGCCCCAGCTTGAGCCCCCCATTAAAAACCAGGGACCTGACTCGTGTATGCTGGTTTTGTGTCTTGTCTGGGACTGTGTCTTCAGGACCTTGCCTGGTCTTTGTCCCAGCTCTGCATTTCCCTGCGGTGGGATAAGGCATTAAATAACAGCCTCAGCCTCCACCGTTTGGAAGCTGGGGCCCAAGGGGTCCTCAGGGGTCTAGTAAACTGGGGAGTGGGGGTGTGCAGGGGGCATAGCCCGTGAAACCAGGGTAGGTGGGGGGCAGGTTGTTTGCCATCATTCCAAGAGGGTGGGGATTGGCACAAGTTGCTGGCCTGGCAGGGGCGTGGCTCCAGCTCCTGGGCCAGGCCTGGGCTGCTGGACAGCCTCCTGGGGCTCTGCCAGGTTTCAGGCTGTGCCGTCTGCCCTGTGGGCACCCCGGCCCGTCCCAGCCACGCTGGGAAGAGGCGGGTCCTGCCTGCTCCCACAGAGGCCCAGCCCTCTGCTCACCCGGCCTGTGGGTGGCCCTGGCTGGCCGTGCGCCTCATCCCCGGTGGTGGTGGCACCTCTGTGCTGTCCAGGCCCCTGGGCTGGCCCCAGATGGGGTGGGGCAGCTGGGTGGGGGCAGCCCTAACACTGGGCAGCTTCTGTGCTGCCCCATTTCTTCCCTTTTGCAAGCACAGGGGTGGCCCAGAAGCTTGCTGCAGGTGGCCAGCAGGAGACTCTGAGGGAAGGGGTCTCCTCATCTCCCTTCCTTAGCCCTGGGCCTGAGCAGGGTGGCAGGGGATTCCAGGGGGGTGAGTGTGCAGGAGAGTCTGGGCCTTCCCATGTGTCACTGGCAGCCTGGAGGTGACAGGGAGGCCTTTCCTGGGCATGTTGTCGGCACAGATGGGCTGTGTACTCGTGTGTCACGGTCCCATGCGAGTGACTGTCCCGTGGCTTCACGGGCGCTCAGTGTGGCGGGAACTGTGCTTGCAGGGCCTCCAGACCAGCTCCCAGCTATGCGGGCTTTCTCTCTGGGTTCCCCTACTCGGGCTGGTAGGCCCAAGGAGCTGGCCGCCACTTTCCCAGGAACCCCCAGGCCAGAGAATGCTGACAGCCATGGGCCCACAGGTGCAGGCCCGTTCCTCCCTGTTTTGGTGTTCTGGAGCCTAGGCCCTAGAGTTCCTGGTCAGGCCTGGGACCGAGGACAGGGTAGGGGGTTCAGGTGGTGGTCGAGGGAACACAACCATGACAGTAACACTTCCAACCAAGCTACAGGACCGGCACCACCCACACCAGCAGTCCCTCTAGGTGTACCCCTGTTCCCAGAGAGATGTCGGCCTCTGGCTGGGGGTACAGCTCCGGACGTAGGTAAGGTTTCTCAGCACAAAGAGGCCTCCTGGGGGAAGTGTGAGCCGTGGAGCCTTAGGGATGCCCACACCTGATACAGGCCTGCAGGAACAGCCTGTGTTGACCGAGGCCTTGTCCTGGGGTGGAAGCATCCAGGGTGGAGTGGGTCATACGACCAGGAACCGGAGGTTGCAACCCTTTCTTTGAAGGCAGGCTCTCATAAAGGTTTGATCCTGAGGAAGGGGGTCCCCTGGGACTGCGTGTGTTCTCACACCCAGGGACTGACTAGAGCATGGGATAAACAAGGAAAAAAGTAGGAAGTGGATTGACTTAGTGTGTTTCTTCAGTTGGACCTGCAGAGCCAGGCTGGGGCTACAGTCCTTTCCTGAGAGCACTGTCCTATCCCTAAATGTGCATGGATGCTCGGGGCCCCTGTTCTGGGAGGACCAGCTGCTCCGCTGGTAACCTGAAGGGCAAGGTCTCAGACCCACCTGAGATCACGCAGCCCTGGCTACCCTGGCTACAAATCCCTGACCCAGCACCACCTGCTCCATCTGGAGCTCCTCCAGCATGGAGATGCTCTGGCTTCAGAGCGCACAGCTCCCTCTGCCACCCCCACATCCCTCTGGCAGCAGGGCCCTCCAAGGCCCTGAGCGGTGGCCCCACAACCTACTCTCCAGGCTCCCCCTGGTGGGGGGGTACACACAGCACCCCCTCAAGCCTGAGCTTTGCACTGGCTGGCTCACTTTCTGGATCACTGTCCTCTGTCCGGCCAAATCCATCCCTCAATCCCAGCCCCCAGCGACCCCCTCCCAAAGGTTTCCTGATCCTGTGGGGCTGGGAGCTTCTGGGTGTGGGTGATGGTGAGCGTGGGAGGGGGCGGGTCAGAGGCTGCAGGAGCAGGATGGGGGCAGGATGGGGGCCTGGAAAGGAACACAGCCCTGGGAGGGGTGCCCACTACTAGGGTGGAGGTGGAGGTGGTCAGACCAGATAAAGTGAGACACCAGATAAATGGACAAGGGGCAGGCGAATAGGTCCTGCGGTCCCCTCCTTTGGGCAGACGGAGCAGGAGCACTGAGAAGGCCCCACACCAATCGGTCATCCTCAAAAAGTTCCCGACCCAGAGCAACACGCTGGGAGAAACGGGACCTGCCGCATTTTCACCTGCTGCTGTGGGGTGTCAGTTACCTGGTCTGTGAAATGGGTAGGGTGATCTGCCCACCCTCGAGGCCCCAGAGTGAGCCACTGCAGCCATGGACCGCCGCAGAAACAGGCTCCGAAAGGTCACAACGCGGCGGGTGGTGGCTGGCTGCACCAGGCTGGCCTGGCGCAGGTTAATCGCTCCATAAATGCCTTCTGAGGTCACCGTTAAGAGATGCAGGAGGCCAGGCTGCCGGGGCAGCTGGCTGGGGCACCCCCACAACAGGCAGGTGACTCCAGCCTGTTTTCCTGGACCGTGGCCGCTGACTCAGGCACCCCCCTCCCTTGCACACCCCCACGCGGGCGCCCCCAGGCGGAAGCACCGGGCCCTAGAGCGGCAGGGAGGGGGGTGGGGCGGGAGCCAACCTGTGCACCCGAAACCCCGTCCTGGGGATCCGGCCCATCAGTGAAGCCGTTTGTGACCCTGGGTTCAGCAGCGACCCCCAATATACGAGGCGAGGCTTAAGGGGTGGGTGGCCCAGATCCCAAGGCGCCCCAGGGCCCTGGCCTGCAGACAGGGGCGGGGGCCCGCCTGCGTCACCGGCCGCCCGGCCCTCCGCCCCCTGCCCGCCCAAACTCCACCCCGAGGGAAGGCGGTGCGGATAAAGGCTTGGGGGCCGCCCGCTCGGCCCCAGACCTGCCCCGCCACTGCGCGCTGTCCCCGGACCTGGGTACACTCAGGACTGTTGAGACCTCGAACTGGCCGCGTCCGGTGAGTGCGGGTGGGATCTCGCGGGATGAGTAGGAGGGTCCCCACTCTAGGCTCTTACGGGTGCCCCACTTTTCTTTGTTTTGGGGGCAGGCAGGGTTCGAGGTGTCTCCAGCCCTGGTAAGCCCCTCGGGTCGTGGGATGGGAGGGGCTCGGCGCAAGCAGCACCGCCCCGTCAAGACCTCAGCCCCCGCCCCGCCTCCCGGGCACTCTTCCTACCCCGCGAGTGACCTTGAGCAAGTTGCTGTTCAGCCTCAGTTTCTTCAGTTGTGCGGCCCCAGCCTCCCGCCTTGGAGGCTTCAGACCCCTAGCAGAGGTTCCCACCTCGCCAGCGGTCCCGTAGGCCTCTCCCCGGCCCCGGGGCAGCAGCTTCGTTCGCCCCCTCCCCAGGACTTCAGGCAGCGCTCCCGGGCAGGGCCGGCAGGGGGCGCGCCGGCGCTGCTGACTCACCGCAGCCCCAAGCGGCGCGCGCGGGCGCAGCCGGGGACGCCGCGTCACGTCACGGCTCGGGCGGGCGAGACTCGGGAAGCGGGCCCGGCCCGCGGGACAGGGATGGGACGCAAGGTGGTACCGGCGCGGGAGGGGCCCTCCCGGCACCGGCCCACGTCACCGGGGTGCAGGCCCCGCCCGCAGCCCCACTCCTCGCCGGACCTCACGCCCCACGGGTCGGGGACGCCCGCCGGCCGAACCTCCTGAGAGCCGCCCGGCCACGAAGCGCGAGGATCGCCTCCCGCTTCCGCTCGCGGCGGCTTCCCGGACAGACGCTGGGGGAGGTCCCCCGGCTTCCTGCCCCTCCTGGCGCTGGGACAGTGCCCGCCCCCACGCCGCGTCCCCCGGGACCGGGACCCCGCGCCGCCCCCTCCCCACCCAGATCCCTCTCGGGCCGCCTGCCCTTTGTTGCGGGCCGTATGAATGGCCCCCGGCGCGGGCGGGTGGAGCGCGGGGGCGGGCCAGAGCGGCGCCAGCCCCGCCCCCGCCGAGCTCCCCTTGGCCGCCGGGCCGGGGGCGGGGCGAGGGGCGGGCCCGCGCGGCCACGTGGGGCAACGCCGCGGCGCTTCCCATTGGCCCGCCCGCGCGGCCGACTGAGCGTTCGGCGCGCGGCGATTGGCCGACGCTGGGCCGGCGGAGTAAGTAGTGAATGGGAGGGGGCGGCAGCCCCGCCCCTTGGAACGTTGATACATTATAACTTTTTTTTCTTGTTACTTTCACCCCCAGATCTTTCAAGCGGCGGCGGCGGCGGCGGCGGCGGCGGCGGCGGCGGCGGGGACGGCTGTTGCTAAGGGAGGGGACGCGCGGGGAAGCGCGGCCCGAGCGGCGGACGGTACCGAGCGCGACCGCCTAAGCGGCGCCCCCTCCTCCGGACCCTCCCCCACGCCCAGCGTCCTTGAAAGGAGCCGCGAGTGCAGTCCCCACCCCCGGAAGGCGCCCCGACGAGCCAACGCGACCCCGGAGCGCCGCTCGGATTTTTGATTCTTGATTCACCTTCGGCTCCTGGGACTTTCTCGAAGGGGACGTGCGCTTCCCCTAGGAACCCCGAAGACCCCCGGCTCGGGGAGTCCCCCCCCGCACTGCCCGGAGGCGCGGCGAGGATTGGCGGCGCCCCGCGGACCCCAGCCCTCCAGCGCCGGCCGGGGATGGAGTCGCAGCCCGGCGGCGCCCGGAGCTGCCGGCGCGGGGCCCCCGGCGGCGCCTGCGACCTAGGCCCGGCGGCCGAGGCGGCGCCCATGAGTCTGGCCATCCACAGCACGACGGGCACCCGCTATGAGCTGTCGGTGCCCCCGGACGAAACGGTGGAGGGGCTGCGCAAGCGGCTGTCCCAGCGGCTCAAAGTGCCCAAGGAGCGCCTGGCGCTGCTCCACAAAGACACGTAGGTACCGCGCGCCGCCCCCGGACCCGCCGCCCCCTCGGGCCCAGGCCCCCGGGCGGGAACAAAGAGCGCGCCGCACGGGGAAGGAAGGGGGCGGCCAGACGGGGGGCGGGGGCGCGCCGCGCGCTCTCGGGCGCCCTCTGCTCGGCCTTGCCTGCCTCGGCCCCCTCCCCCGCCCGGGGTCGCCGCACAAAGGCGGCTGCGAGGGCCGCCCCCTCCCCTCTGGGGAAGGCAGGAGTCCGGGTCAGTTGTGGGGGTCCCGGCAGCGGGGGTGGGGGGCGCGGCCGCCTCCTTCTCTGCCTTATTTCCCGCTGGCTTCCGCATCTGCTCGGTGCCCCCCCTCTACGTCTGGCTGTTTTCTTCCCCTACTTGCGTTTTTCTACCCCCCTTTGTTCTAACCACCGAACACTCTCGCAGTCGCCCCCTCCTCCCTAGTATTTAAATCGCCTCCAGGCCCGGGAGCACTCCCCCCGCGGGCCTCCAGGGACACGCAGTGTCCATCCCCAGCGGAGGGGCCCCCGTGGGGGAGGGGCGGTTGGGGGAGGGTCTCCTTTGTCTGAGCCGCGGCGGCCTGCGCCAGAGAGGGAGGGGGGAGGGAGGAGGGGGAGCCTGGCCCCGCAAAAGACCCTAAAGGCTAAGCCCTGTGGCTCCCACAAAGAGGAGCGCCGGGCCGGAGTTGGTGAATTACAGGCAGGGGCCGGCCCTGGGGTGAGGGAAGGGTGGCAGAGGACGGCAAGGGTTCAGTGGCGCCCGGGTGATGAAAAAGTGCTTTGTTGAGGTGCAGAGGTGGTGCCCCGGTGCCGAGTTGGGGCTTCTGGGAAGGAGGTTTGAGCCACTCGCATGGGGGCCCTCTGGGCCAGATGTTTGACACTCCCCGCTCCCCTCCCCCCCCACACACCACCTTTCTGCTCTGAAGGCCAGGCAGGGAGAGGGGTGGGCAGGGCTCCCGCATCTCCCCCAGGCACACGGCTCTCCCCTGGGTCGCTGCCTTGTCTGCTTGGCCTCACCCTCTTCCTTCCTTCCTCCTCCTAGCCGGCTCAGTTCGGGGAAGCTGCAGGAGTTCGGCGTGGGGGACGGCAGCAAGCTGACGCTGGTGCCCACCGTGGAGGCGGGCCTCATGGTAAATGGCTGGGGCAGAGTGCCCCAGAGGCTCTGGCACAGGCGGGCAGCCCCTTCCCCTGAGAACTTGGTTCCCAGCACACACCCTGCCAGGGCAGTCCCAGTCGGCGAGCAGCTCCCCTGCCCTGGCGCCCGGGCCCTCGGACCAGAGCGCACGCTCAGAGCGGCTTCTCTGTTTCAGTCCCAGGCCTCAAGGCCAGAACAGTCTGTGATGCAGGCCCTGGAAAGCCTGACCGAGACGCAGGTAAGACCCGCGCCGGTCCCTCCCAGACCAGGGGGAGGGCCTGGGGGGTGGTGTTTGTGCTCCCAGGAGACCCTCGGGGAGGGAGGGTACGCGCCACCCAGCCTTCCTGCCGGTTTGGCCTGGTCACCCAGCTTCCTCTTCCTCCTCCCCCCTCACACTCACCACCTGACCTTGAGGGCCTTCTCTCCCACGGTGGCTGCCTTGGGGGAGGGGGCTGGGCTTTCACAAGCCTGCCTGAGGGGGTGACCTTGGCCCACGCTCCCACACCGCTCCCACACCAGGGCCTGGGTCCCCAGCCCCTATTGAGGAGCACCCCCTCTACAGCCACTGCGGTTTCCCCAGGGCGACCTTTTTTCTTTTTTTTTTTCCCCCCCAAATTTCTGTGGGTGGGTGGGGGGGGCTGGAGGGGCCAGCCTAGGTGACACTCCTTCCGCCTTCTTTGACCCCATTGTAAGGGGTGGGGAGTCACCCTTCCCCCTTCTCCCTTTGGCCTTTGTTCTCTGACCCAAAAGGGGGAGGGGGGCACCCAGCCCCAGGGCCATAGCCTAGACAGGATGTTAGGAAAATATTTAGCAACTGGCCAGGAGCTGAGGAGGAAGGCAGGGACTGGCCCACAGCCGGGTTCCCGGTTTTGTTGCAGCCTTTTTTTTTTTTTTTTTTTTTTTTTACCTCCTCCTTTCCTCATTTTTCTGGCGGCGGGGCCCTCCTCCCAGGAGGGTGACACAGGCCTCAGCTATCCGCCCGCTGCCAGGGTGGGGGAAGCAGGCTGCTGCCCGCCCCGGTTAGGGGGTGGGCTGGGCTGGGCTGGCCGCAGGAAACCTGCTCAGCGGCTTCCCTTCCTCCTGCCCTGAGGCCCTCGCCCCCTCCCCGACATGTAGCATCCTGTCCTCACCAGCTAGCTAGCAAGGAGGAAGAGGGGCACTGGCGCTGGGTGGTCTGCCATCAGGAGGGCCGGTGGGCTGAAGGCAGAGCTGGGGTCCCGGGAGCTAGGTGGGGGGCCGCACTGGATTTCCTGGTGAAGATGTGAACTGAGCTCTCTGCTCATGGGGGGCCTGCGGTTGGCAGGGGGACCAGGGGTGTCTTCGGTTCACATCCGCCCCAGGGTGCCTGCGTCAGGAGGGAGGGGGGGCACTGGGCGGAGTGACTGGGCTCCCAGGGCTGTTTCCCCGCCTGGCACCGAGTCATGCCCTCCTATTCGCCCTCTCCAGGGAGGAAGTTGCAGGGTGGAGGGGTGGGGGGGACTCCCCAGTTGCTCTTGGGAAGCCAGCCCAGGCCCTTCCTGCAAGGGGAGTCTCTGGGGCTGGGGGGGGGTGCCATGCAGACCAGGCTTCAGGGTGGGGGCTGCACACTGCCCGCCTCCCTCGCCTCCTCCCCACGGCCCCCAAGCAGAGAAGGTTACGCCAGCCGCTGCCAGCGGAGGGCTGGGAGGCGGTGGTTCTGAGTCATCCCGGCCTATGTCACTTCTCAGAAACCTCCCCCCCCACCACCACCACCATCCTGGCCCCTGGGGAAAGCTCAGCACTGGCTAGGCTCCAGAGGAGGAGCCCAGTGCAGACTGAGCTCAGATGCACCCCCCCCCCGCCACCACCACCACCCACCAGATTTGGGGGTTTGCGTTCGGGCTACGTGGAGGTCTCACAGGACCCAGGCCTCAGAGAACCATCAGGGCCCCCTCCTGCAGCAGCGAAGCCTCCCCCTCAGTCTCAGCCCCACCCAGGACAGATAAATATTTATCTTGAGAAAGCAAAGGTTAGGAAGAAGAATTTGTCCAGGAATTCCCGCCCACTTGCTGCCTGGGTGGCTTAACTGGGAGGGGGTCTGAGATTGGCTCCCCTCCCATATTCACGGGCAGAGAATTGGGGGCTGGGAGGGTGGGGTTATTCGAGGGCAGTGACTGCTGACTGGGCCTTGCCCCCTCTGGCCTCAGTTTCCCCTTGAAAGAACCAAGCTGGCCAGGGAGGGCCAGGCCCCCCCATCTGACCCGCCTCTGTCCCCCACAGCCCCCAGTGGCGCCCGGGCCGGGCCGGGCTGGCGGAGGCGTCTTCCGGAAATACCGATTCATTTTATTTAAGCATCCGTGGCACCGACAGGGACCCCAGAGCCCAGAGAGGGGCGGCGAGAGGCCCCAGGTCACACAGCGCGGGGGGGGCCGGGGCTGGGCCGGGCTGGGGGCGCGCAGCAGGCTGGGGCCCTGGCGCTGACGGGGCCCCTCTCTACAGGTCAGTGACTTCTTGTCCGGCCGCTCGCCGCTGACCCTGGCGCTGCGCGTGGGTGACCACATGATGTTCGTCCAGCTGCAGCTTGCTGCCCAGCACGCCCCACTACAACACCGCCACGTGCTGGCTGCCGCTGCTGCCGCAGCCGCCGCAGCCCGGGGCGACCCCAGCATGACCACCCCCGTGTCCTCTCCCTGCCGGCCTGTGTCCAGTGCTGCCCGAGTCCCCCCGATGTCCAGCAGCCCTGCCTCTGCGTCCCCCTCACCTGTCACCGCCGGCTCTTTCCGATCCCACTCAGCTTCTGCCGCCTGCTCTGAGGTGAGTCTAGGGAAGGCTTATTCTTGGGGCCGGGAAGGCGGGCTGTCCCAGACTTGGGGAGGGGAGGGGCTCAGAGTCCCAGATGTGTGCTTTGTACGAAAGGCCACCGCCAGACTCTGGACTCCAGGGACTCTCCTTGCACCCCACAGCTTACATGCCTTCCTTTCTCCGACCAGCAGATGGACTGTTCGACCCCTGCCAGTGCTGGTACCAGCCCCACTCCCACCCCCGCGGGGAGCCCTACCTCCCGCTCCCGCAAACCCGGTGCCGTCATTGAGAGCTTCGTGAACCATGCCCCGGGGGTCTTCTCAGGGACCTTCTCTGGTAGGTGTCACAGGACCCTTGTGCCACCCCCCCGCTCCCCCCAGAGATCACCGGCTGCGGGTGGGGTACGTTCTCACTCATACCCCCACCCCAGGGTCTCCTGGCACGTGTATGACCACGCAGGAGGCTGTGGGCTCCCGTGGGGGGTGCGAGACCCTGTGTGTCTCTCTCTCGCCCCGGGGTCCCACCTATCTACGAGTGTGCTCCGGAGGCCACGTGTCGGTCACGCGAGCACTCAGCAGCGACTCCCCTGCCTCCTGCAGGCACACTGCACCCCAACTGCCAGGACAGCAGCGGGCGGCCGCGGCGTGACATCGGCACCATCCTACAGATCCTCAATGACCTTCTGAGTGCCACGCGGCACTACCAGGGCATGCCCCCGTCCCTGACCCAGCTGCGCTGCCATGCCCAGTGCACACCCACGTCTCCCGCCCCGGACCTCACCCCCAAAACTACCTCCTGTGAGAAGCTGGCGGCCGCAGCCCCGGCCTCCCTGAGCCAGGCCCGCATGTGCAAGCCGCTGGGTGAGTGTCCAGCCGCGCGCCCCCCCCCCCCCCGTCCCTGGGCTGTTCAAGGCCCCTCTGTGCGCTGCTCAGAGCAGCTGACCCCCGGGGGGCTGGGGGGGCCAGCAGCTGCTTCTCGCCCTGCTCTGCACGGGAGCCGAGAGAAGGGAGCATGTGTGCTGGGGGCACAAAGTGTCCTTGTCCTCTCCTGAGGGGGGTACTTCCTTCTTGCCGGCCCCCCCGCCCCCCAGCACCTTGTCCAGATGGCAGGTGGAGCCTCTGTGAATGGCCGAGTCTGATGAAGGAGGGGGCCAGAGCTGCTCCGGGTAGCTTGTGTCCCCCAGAGACCAGGTTTCCCCCAGTAAATCCCGAGTCTGCCAAATAGTGCCCCTGTTGCATCTGGCTGGTCTGCAGCCCAGGTCGCGAAGGGGAAACCAAGGCACCGGCCCGAGGGCCCATGTAGCACCTGATAGGCGTGTTGGCGGTGTGCTCAGCGCCTGTCCTGGACCCGGCCTAGTCGGCACAGGGACAGGTCAGGGACACCTCGAGTCCCAGGGACTTCACTGCGCCCCGGGCTCCACCACAGACCCAGTGGACTCTAGAGCGAGGCTCCCTCTCTGGTGCACTGCGCCCAGGAAGGCTGGGTTGTGCCTTACACCCGGGCCGGGGGCGGGGGGGGGGGGTCTGGCCTCTGCCCCGAGGGGCTCAGGGGTCACAATCACTGCCTCCCTGCAGGGGACCGGCTGCGGCAGACGGAAAACCGGGCCACGCGCTGCAAGGTGGAGCGTCTGCAGCTGCTTCTCCAGCAGAAGCGGCTCCGCAGGAAGGCCCGGCGCGACGCCCGCGGCCCCTACCACTGGCCGCCAAGCCGCAAGGCCGGCCGCAGCGACACCACCAGCGGCGGGGGAGGTGGCGGTCCCAGCGAGGCCTCCGGCTTGGGCCTCGACTTCGAGGACTCCGTTTGGAAGCCGGAAGTCAATCCTGACATTAAGTCAGAGTTCGTGGTGGCCTAGGAACCGCGTCCCTCACCTGACCACCCTGGGCCGGAGTCCCCCAGCATGGCCTGCGCGCGGGAGAGCAGGCGGTCAGGGCAGCGGGGGGCCCCTCCCTCCCCGCCAGCTTCCTTCTAGTTTTTTTTTTTTTTTTTCGTTTTGTTGGTTTTTTTGTTTTTTGTTTTTTTAATTTCCATTCTTACCATGGTTTTCCGAACTCTCCATGGACGCGGTTCCTGCCTCCTTGGTTCAGCTCACACCTCCCCGCCTCTGCCTCCCGTCGCCGGCTCCCATCCTCGGCCTGAGCTGGGTCCTTCCCCGCCCACTTCCCAAGCTCCAGATATGTAGCAGTCACTCCAGATGGTTGAGAGTGGGACGAGACGAGGAAGCCGCCCCCACCCCTTCAGGTTTAAGTCAAAAACGTAGATGCCTCATGATGCACTTTACAGACGGGCAGGGCCTAGGAGGGAAGCCCCGCTGCAGCTGCACCCCGGCCTCCAGGGCGGCCGGCTGGCCCCACAGCGACCGGAGACCGCCTGCGCCACCTGCACGGCCAGGTCTCCTCCACATCTGTGCTTTTTTCTCTTGGTCTCTTTTTTCCAGGAAAAAAAAGGGGGGGGGCGCTTCAGTAGGCTGACCCCAGCCTGCCTCTGGGTTCAGGTGGGGGTGTGGGGCCCTCTCCTGAGTAGGAAAGAGAGGGAGGGGGACAGACAGCCGCCAGCCTTCGTGTCCACGCACTGTGCCATTTCCTCCTGCCCCACCCCCTTTTTGTTCTGAGCTTGGGGTATTTATAGACTATTAATTTTCTGAGCCAATAGTGGTTGGGAGTCTCTTGAAAACTCGGGAGAGAAATGGTTGGGGGGACAGGGGAAATAACCCCCAGCCCTCCTTCCTGGCCCCACCGGAGGGATCTGGGCCTGTGGGCTGTGTCTGGAGGCCCTCTGGCGGCCAGGAGGGGAGGGGGTGCTGAGCTGTGAAGCCCCCGGTAGGGGTGACGCTGTGTAGCATTAACCCCCTTGGGGGGGGTTCGCTGCTGGTCTAAATTGGACCCTCCCCACTAGTGCCCTTATTCCCCAGATTGCCCTGGGGCAGAGGGACAAGCCCTCTACTGGGGCCATTTCAATGGGGGTGGAGTTTTTTTCATTCACTTATTTTTTACTGATAATGGAGATGATCGGGCCCTGCCCCCTGCCCCCTGCCCCCCAGTCTTGTCCTTGCCCCACCTTTCTGTCCTCCAGACACCCCCACCCCTGCCTGTTCCTCCCTTCATCCTGTCGTAGGTGAACACCGCCCCCCCTATGTGTTTAAAGTTAATGGTTTTCAGATGTGAACATCATGTGTTAATTGTAGCTCTGTAAACTTTTTTGTGGGGGGGTGGGTAGGGAGGGGTCAGAGGGTAGGGGTCAAGGATTTGTTTTTTTGTTTTCATTTTCCAAAAAAAAAAAAAAGAAAAAAGGAGTGGGTTTGTTTTTGAAGAACTGTCTTGGATACCTATTTAAATGTGTTCTGTTTTGGTTTTTTTTTAAACGATTTTTAAATAACACCTGTGCCTCCGCGGGTCTGAGGGTGGAGGCCCCAGGCAGGAACCAGCCCGCCCCCCTCTGCCCTCACCAGGGCTCCCCCAAGAAAGCATTACCCACCCTCAGGGTTCGGGCTGTGGGGTCCCAGCACCTTGCGTTGAGTTTCCTGTATGAAAACAAAATTGGGAAAGATAAACCTATACAAACACCGTGATTTCAAGTAATAAACAGAAAATGAAACGAGTGAATGTGCTGCCCACTTGTGGGAGCTGGGGGGGGGGGGTCTTGGCCATCACAGGGGACTCCCAGGTACGATGGGTGGTCTTACATGCCTCGAAGTGGCACGGTGGGTGGGTCTTTCCTCTGAGGAGGGGGCTTGGGGTGATCAGGTGGCCCTGTGAGGTGCTGGCTTCCACCATCTCAGGTAGTGGGAGCTGGAAAGTGGGTGGGGGTTGCATCCCAGAACAGTTCCCACGTTCCCTTCCCGGCTTGAGGTGAGGGTGGGCAGGAAGTTGCCCCAGCAGGGGAGGGAGGGGCCAGCCACTTCCCCGGTACCCGAGGCCGGAAGTCCTGCAGGGTGTGGGCACAGGGCGGCCTGCTTACAGTGCGCCCTGGGTGGGGCCTCAGTTCCTGGCTCTGGGAAGTGGGCTGGGGACTGACCCCTGGAACTGTCACCAGGGATACCTGACCACACACTCTGGGCCTCAGTTTCCCCAGCTGCTGGCAGGGAGGCTGCTCCAACTGCTGGGCCGGGCAGGAGGTACTTACTGCCTGGGTGGGCCCCTGACCTGAGCCCTCCCAGAGGCTACCAGAGCCCCCTCCTGGGGGCCTGGCCTCCAGAAGCTCTCTGGCGGAAATCAGTGATTCCCCAGGGCCTGAGGCTTGTGTTCAAGGCCTCTGGCCTGGCCGTCCCAGCCTTGGGTGAACTCTCACCCCTCTCTGGCCTCACCCTGGCCTTGCATTCCAGTGCTCCCCAGCCCTGACGGTCATGCATCAAGCCTCCAGGCCTTTGTCCGGGCCGTGCCCTACCAGGAACACCCCTCTCCTGTCTGCCCTTGCACTGCCTAGGGACTAACTCAACTGGCATCTCGCTGAGGGCCGGGCCAGGGGCCAGCCCTCTGGGGTCCCACTGTCATCCACTCTGGGGCTGGGCAGAGGCAGGACAGTAACAGCGTCTCACCTGTCTTTCCTCAGTCAACGAGCACTGCCCCCAGGAGTTACAACTAACTATGGTGCCATCTAGTATGTGAGAAAACTCCATGCCCAGAGAGAAACATCACGTGCCCTAGAGGATCGGGGTGTCCACCCACTCCTGGGCAGATTTCCGATGGCCCAAGCCCTTGCCCTCCCAGCCCCAGCTCCAGGGACCCCATGGGTAAAGGACACAGGTCCCGTCCCAGGAGTGTCTTGGGAGCATCTCCGGAAGGACCTTCTGCCCCTCTCCCTGCCCAGTCACCCCAAAATCATCGCAAGCCCACGGCAGGAAGGTAGGATGCCACACGTCAGGCTGATCTCTCCAGACCTCAGAGTCAACGGCCACAGGTTGGAGGCGTGGGTGGGACAGCTCAGGTGGAAGATTCCGCCCACGCAGCTGCCTCTGGGGGTCAGGGCCGAGGGCTGTACCCAGGTGATTCCACAGGGCTGGGTGGGGGATGTGGAAGGAGGTGTCAACTGAGGCACCCGCTGAATCACAGGCTGAATCGAAGGCTGTGTGTGCACGCTGAGGGCGGGGGGCACTTGCCCTGCTGCCCGGGAACCCACCCCTCAGGGCGCTGCCTGGCGCCCAGCCCGGGAGTCCAAGGGTCACGGCCCTGCCCTGGGGTCCTAGGAGGACAACACCCCGGTGGGGGCTGCGGGCCATTGGCCTCCTCCCCCCCCAGGCAGGGCGCACAGCGCACGCACCTAGCCAAGGGGCGGTGCCTGACCGAGGGGAGGTGCGGCCAGAGGGGCTGCAGGCTAGGCCACGTGAGAGAAAGGTAAACTGAGGCCCGGCGAGGCCTGGGTCTTCGGAGATCGCAGGGGGCGCTGTCTGCCCTGCGCCGCCCCCTCCTCCCATTGAGGAAAAAGCTGAATGGGAGGGGGTGGCCCCCGGAAACCCGCAGGAATGGAATCGCGGTTTCCACGGCAACGCGCCGCGAATCGGGTCTGACGTCACCGCGGGGAGGGCGCCCCGCTCGCCCCCGTCAGCGCGTCGGGGGGCTCAGGCCCCGCCCACCCCGGGGGGACGCCTCACTGGTGGCCCCGCCGTTCGCTCCTCCGCACGCACCAATGACAGCGTGGCGTTAGCGCCGGAGGGTGGGACCGCGCCCGGGCCGGCTGAGTGCGCAAGCGCGGCGCGGAGGCGGGCGGCCCCCTCCCTGTGGTCGCGCGTCTGCAAACTTGGGGGCGGGAGGCGCGCCGAGGGTCTGACGGCTCGGCAGCGCCCGGACGGAAGAGGGGGCGTAGCGGGGGGCGCTGCACGTGGACCCCCGCACCGGCGCGCTCGCTCGCACCCCTCCTTCCACGTCCAGGCATTGTCTGCTGCCCCCTCCTCCTCGACTCGGTGACGCGACCTCCGGATTGGGGGAGCATGCAGCCCCCGGGCGGGGGGAGCGCAGGAAGGCGAGCGGGAGGAGAGCCCTTGGCCTGAGGTTTTGCCAAAGGAATAGGAGTTTGCCAAGCGTTGGAAGAGGGAAGGGGTGCCCCTAGGTGGGAGACAGCGTGCGCAACGACCTGGAGACGTGCAAGCAGGTGTATTTTGGGGGGGGGGGCAGCTGCGAAGTTAGTTGGGGGAGAGAAAACCACAGGTGGGAGGAAGCCGCCGAGGCGAGGACCCGAAAGGGGCGATCCCCCAAGTCTGTGGCTGGGGATTGAGTGGCCCCCAGGGAGCAGAACATTCACGTGGCTCAGTGGCTAGGCCTTCAGCCTGGGCCTCGAGGAGCGGCCTGAGGAGGAACAGACGGGGCACTGTGTGAAGGCGGCCTCGGGTTCGTAGCGGGGTGGTTGGCAAGGGGGCTGCGAGGAGCTAGGGGCTTGGCGGAGGGGAGCAAGGTTGGTTGTGACCAGGAGTCCGTTCAGAGAAGGCAGCGGTCGGTGTGACCAGGAGCAGGCTCTGCCAGGTGGGGAGCATGCAGGCCAAAACCTCTGGTCCAAGGTTAGCCCCAGGCTGGGCAAGCGCAAGACTCAGTCGGGTCGGGTGGGCTGTGTGGACAGGTGTGGCTGCCAAGGCATGCAGTCTGGACTGGAGGCTTGCGTCCAGGTGGGCAAGCAGGAGAAGGTCGCTGGGGTCACTGCTTTCTGCTTGAGGCCAGAGTCCCCTGGGGGCGGCCAAGTGGGTAATTGGGGCTGGCTCCACGGTTTTGAAATGCCAAAGGCCAGGATCAGGGCCTGCCTTGGGGAGGAGCCGGGCCTCTGGCAAGGAGCCATCTGGGGAGATGGGAACGAGCGGTGCCCCGTCGGAGCCTGCTCCTGCACCCCCAGCACCAGGCGGGTGCCCAGGGCACAGCTGCCCCCACCGGGCCCAGTGGGACCTGCTTGACTCTCCAGGTGCCTTGGGAATGGGAGTTACCAAGCCACAGCCAAGGGTGCTGGGGCCCAACCCAGGAGTCTTGACTCCAGCCCCACCCACGGCTGCCCCGCCCTGGGAGGGCAGGGGACAGGCAGCCTCTGGTGTGACCCGGGACAGGTGAGCAGCCCAGCCCCGGTGTGGGGGCGGGGCTGCTGTCACCTGTGGCCCTGCCCCTGTGCCGGTCCTCCCTCTGGGTCCCTGTCCCTGGCTTGCTGCCTCGACTTCTCCCTAACTTCTCTGCCTCTGCCATTCCTGCCTCTGGCCGGTTCTGTCTTCCTCTTTCTTTTTGCCTTCCTCAGTATCTCGGTCTGTCTCTGTTCCCCTCTGGGTCTCTCTGCCCCACCGACTCCTCCCCTCTTCCGCCCCCTCTCCGGAGGGGGGAGGGGGAGAGGGGCCCTCCCTCACCCCCGGCACACATTCCAGCCTCCACCCCCGCCCGGCTGCCCCTCCCTGGAACCAGCTGCTGCTGTACTGGGTGCCCAGGATGGAGGGAGTGGGCTCAGGCCGGGTCAGAGGTTGGGGTGTGGGCAGGGGCTGTAGGGGGCACCCCCAACTCCTGTGGAATGTGGGCGGGGCCACCCGCGAGGGGAGGCAGTCACCCGCAGGCAGGGGGAGCTGGGCCTCTAGACAGCTGCCTACAACCGGACTGCACGCGCCCCACCCCCCAGACACTGCCCACAGGCCTCCGAGAGAGTCCACGCAACCCCCGACTCCCACGCAGACCGACCAGCCACCAGACCGACCAGCACGCCCTCCTGCCCACGCTCAGGAGAAGTGCACCCCTCAACAGTTAAGGGGTAGATAACGATCCCCACCTGAATGCCAGGCTCTTGGCTCTGCAATACACCCCCCACACACACACACACTGGCCCCAGCCCACACTTTGGTGCCACTACAACCTCAATCAACACTATGATTCTCAAAACAATGGCACCCCCATTCTCACCCTGGACCAAGACCTCCCTTAAGAAAACCACAAAACTGAAAGTCACACCCAGCAGGGGCAGGCACTCAGATCCTCAGAGACTTGTCACCCACGGCAGCATCCTCCCCCAAACACAACCCATCGCTCCAGCCACACACTGCCCACATACCCTCCATGGCTTTAGGCCCACCAGAGGAGCAGAGACCTGATGATCCGGGTTGGGGACAGGCGGGGGGTGCGTGCACTCACTCACTCCATCCCTGTTGGGACCTGGAAGAAGGGGGCGTGAGCATCAGACCATTTTCTTTGTGTTCTGCAACAGAAGAAAAAGCAGAGAACCCCAAGTGCCCCGTGGTGGGCTCTTGTCCGTGGCTGGCAGCCCTTCGTTCACCCACACTGACCCTAGGAATCCCTGCTGCTGCACCCACTTCTCAGATGGGCAGCTGAGGCCCAGAGGGGGGCCTGGCAACAGCAGCCTGCACAGCTGGGCACCCGGACATCCCCGACTTTCAAGGAAGAGCCAGTTGTGGGACACCAACACTTGTGACATCGACACATGGGGCTGGGATGTGCACTCGTGCTGGCTGCCCAGGGCCACAGCAGCTTAGCTGTCTTCTCTGAGCCCCTGGCAACTGCCACAGGATGGGGGCACTCTCCGTTCTGGCCACTCCAGTGTTGCCATGGAGATACCACAAGCCCCTCCTTGTGCCCACAGGGAGCCTGTGTGTGGATGACATCTTGAGTGTGGGGCCAAGGTCAAGTGAGCAGATAGGACACTTGTGGGGGACAGCTCCTCCTACCCCCAGGGGTGGGGCGGTGTGAACCTCAGCCCTTCCCCAGTCTCAAAATCCAGTGGGTTGTGTCCCCCGCCCCCACCAAGGCAAGCCTTGGGGCTTTTGTGAGCACACAGGGGTCTTTGTGTATGCCCGAGCTCTGGCGTTCCACAGACATCTGGTGTACGTTTGCTCTACTTGATGTGTGCTTGTCCATCTGTGCCCTTGCTGCCACACACGTGCCTCTGTTTCCCTCCGTAGAAAGGGAAGGGGTCACTGTCTGGGTCTGTGGAGCCTCGTGAGTACAGAAAGAGCGAACATGCAGGCATGTGACGCCCACAGGTCTCGCCCTCTCACAGGTGGGTTGCAAGTACACAACAGGTGTATCTCTGTGTGTCCCTGGGCCCCGCCCCATAGTCTGTGCTCACCAACACCAACCACGCTGTGCCTGGCCTTTGCAATCCTGGGATGGGAGCCTGGGCAGGAACAGAAGAGTGGTAGCCTCCACATTCTTGGGCCTTGACTCACAGCGGGCTCCACTAGGTGCCCCCAGCCCCTGTCCTGCACATTCTCCACTACGGAGACCCCTTCCTAGGAACAGGAGGGAAACTGAGGCCAGGGGCAACCTCTCCCAGGGTGGCAAACAGCTGAGTTTCCTGTGTTCACAGTTGGTAGCCACCTGGGGCCTCCTAGAGACCTCGGAGGACCCCCACCTCCTCATGCAGGTAGGAACTGGGGGAGGGCAGTTTAACTCTTTCTCCGCAGGGCTTCTGGCCTCCTGTAGCTGTCCTCTGCCCTAGGAGACCCTGGCCACCGCGGACACATAGCACTTCTGCCCAGCCCGGGGGCATGAGTCACGCCACGAACCACGGGCACATATGCTCTGTGAGTCTTGTCCCCTGAGGCACACACACGCAGACCTGTCCGTGACTGATCCCACATCCATATTCCTTATGCACACGTTCTGGAGTCCGTGTACAACCCCCTTGCGTTCTTGCGCACGGAGCACCACGCACACACTTCCGTATCCGCGCGCACACACACAGCCCCCACTTTCCCGTCCACACAGGCACAGTCCCCAGCCATCCTTGTGTCTGTTTACCCACGACTCCCCAGCTCACCGGCACACATGTGCACCACACCTGGCAACACGCACACTCATCCAGTCTCCGCTTCCCCCACCCTGGCTCTGAGCCCTGCGGGTTTGGGCCAGGCGGGCCGGCGAGTCTCTGCCAGGACGGTCCCACTTGTGCGCCCCCGCCGGGAGGCCGCCAGGTGCACTGTCCTGGCCCCCGCCTGGCCGACCGGGAGGGGGCGATAATTACGCGGCCTGAGGGTCCCCCCCCACACACGCGCCTTTCATCCCGGCCAACGCCCGTCCGGGACCCAGACGCTCATTACCGCCTCCCGCCCGGTCATTAGCCAGGGTCGGGGGAGGACCCGGCGTCCAGAGGCCCGGCCCGGCGGGAAGGCGGAGGGGGTGCGGCGGGAGCGAGGCGGCCCCGCCCTCGTCTCCACGGCGACGCCCGCGGGTGGGGCGCCCAGACGCGGAGGGGTTGGACCGCGGTGGGAGAAGTGGTCCTGGAGGCGGGCGCCCCCTCCGCGGCGGCCGCTCGCGGAGGGGCGATTTGGTAGATACGTCGACGGGGACCTCCCGGCCTAATCCCCGTCCCGCCGGGCAGGCGGCGAGCACCGCGCGGCCAGGCCACGAATAGCAGCCTCTCCCGTGCCCGCGGCTATTTTGAGCCTCATCCTTCCACCCCCCCGCCACCCACCCCTCCCAGCGCACTGGCAGAGGCGCGGGGCCAGGCTTGTGGGCGGGACGAGGACCCCATCCCACGCTGGAGCTTGCGGCGGGACCCGGAGCCCCCGGCTGGGGTGACAGCGAGGCTGCAGCGCCCCCTCGTGTCCGTGGGGAGAGGGTGGCGCAGCGGTCGCGACAGCGATGAAGGTGGTCCCAGACCCCTGAGCGCCCCCAACACGGACACGCAGATGCGGGAAACCACAGGGACAGAGACAGGCAGCACACCTGAGACGCACACAGTTTCCGTACAGTGCCCAGAGCAGGCGCACCTGGCAACAGGTGTCCCCAGGTATGGGTCCTTTCTGTAATGGGAACCTAGGACAGTCGTGGGTATACATGGAAACCAGTACCCAGCAACGGGCTCGTAGTAAACGTTTAATAACTGTGTGCTGGCGGAATGAATGAATGAATGAACAGAGCACTTCACAAAACCAGGAGAAGGCCGACTCAGAACTACAGAACAGTGGGGGCGGGGTCCTAGGGGCAGAGAATGACTCGGGGCCATCGCGGCTGCAGGGACACCCGGCCTGGGCTGGAGCCAGGAGCCGTTGACCTAACTTTGCTAGGGGAGCACATCAGAAAGGGTGGCGGCGGGGAATTGCTCCTGGGCTGGACATACCTGGGCCCCGCCCCCATGCTGGCTGGGAGGCAGAGGGAGCTGAGAGCTGATGTCTCTTTTTGCTCCTTTTAATAACCACCCTGCGTGAGAGGCTGACGCAGCAGCAGGCTGCCTCTGACGGGGAGTCAGTCGTCAGGGAGGGCTGCGGCATGGGGCAGCGGGGCAGGGAGGTGCAGAGGGGGTGGCAAAGAGATCATGAGCTGCTCTGCGGGAAGGGGCTCCTGAACGGAGGAGGGTCCCCGTGATCTTGTCACAGGAGACCATGTCCTTGCCTGAGGATGGGAGCAAGTCTGAGGCCTGGAGTGGGGCTGGGACTTTTCTGCTGCGGGCAACAAAGTGGGGGGCTCTGTTCCCAAATACCCCCAACTCTTCTGCAGAGGGTCTACTGTCTGAAGACTTTCTAGAGCAGGGTTCTGCGCTAGTTTTTTCCACCCCATGGAGGGGTCCAGGGTCACCAGAGACAACATAAGCCAAAGCCTGCACAGCGGGCAAATGGTGGCCACAAAGGGGCTCCCATAAAGTGGTCTTGGGACTCCCCAGGAGCAATCTTGCGGGTGACGGTTCCTGCAAAGCTGGTTCTCCGGATAGCAGAGCTCTTGGAACCCCCAGACAGGAAAAAGCACAGAGGGAGGAGCAGAGCGTTGCTCACCCCACCATGGGTAATGAGTCTGTTCTTGGTATGCAGAACTATGTGCTGGTAGGAGGCCAGGCCAGAGCACATGCTGGAGGGGAGGCCAAGGGTTGAGACCAATGTTGGGGTGCAGTGCTGGCCCCCGTGGTGGGGTTGGGTGTCCAGGTTGGGATCAGCCTGCAGTCTAGCGCTGGAATGCACGGAAGGGTCTGTCTAGGTGAGTATGGGGGCGTGGGCACCACACCAAGCAGATCAAAGCAGGTTGTGTGACATTGGGGTGCCCCAAAGTTGAGAAGTAGGAGGAAATGGGATCTTGGAGAATACTGGGATCCATACACGTGGGGCTTCCTCAGTCTTGGGGTTTGGGCGGGCCTTGGCGCGGACTACATGAAGTGCTGTATTTAGGAGCGTGGGGTCCTGGGAGTACTAGGGGGTCGGTTATGCTGGCAAGTATAGGAGAACGATGTCAGGGTTCAGGTGAACTGACAGCTGGGGCTGCGGTGCGGATGGGGACTTGGCTAAGGTTGCACTGGCGGCGACTGCTGGAGCAGAGCACAAGTCTTGAGTTCGAGCCACACCAGGAGGTCCCCTGGAAGTTTGGGCCCTCGGCCTCCAAGAGGCCCCTTTGTTAACCGCCACAGGCCGGGAGGAGGGGTGGGGGCGGGCATGCGGAAGTGGGTCAGCCCCGCCCCGCCGCGCGCTGGCCCCGCCTCCAGGCCGCGGGCGGGGGACTGCGGACGAGGAGCGTCCTCGCCAATTATCGCGCCCGGAGACCGCGCGCACGGGAGGGGGCGGGGCCGGGGCCGGCCCAGCCCCCGCCTCATGAATATGAGGTGCGGCTGCGGCTCCCGAGCCCTCGGATTGGCTGGCGCGGGGCGAGGGGCGGGAACCCGCGGCGGCGTACTTAAGGCCGGGCGCTCGGCGTCCCCCCCCTCACTCGCGCGTTAGGAGGCTTGGCTCGTTGTGCTGCGCCTTGTTCCCGCCTGCGTCAGGGACCTTCCCGACTCAGTGGTGAGGGCCCTGGCGGCGCCGGCTCCACGGGCCCGGGGCGGCGAGCGGCCTGCGGCCGGCCGGAGGAGGCGGGACGGCGGCGGCACGCCCCTGGGCGGGGGCGGCGCCGGGGCGGGCCCGGGGTGGAGTCCGCCCCGCCGGCGGCGATGGGCAGCGGGACACCGGGCCAAGCTGTGGCCGGAGGGCGTCTTTCCCTCGGGCCTGGCCCTCCGCGAGCGGGACGCCACCGCAAAATGGCGGCCGCGAGCGCGAGGCTGCGCCCAGCGAAATGGCGGGAGTGCCGGGTGCCCGGATGGAGTGGCGCAGGGCGTGCGCGGGGCGCATGCGCGCGGCGGTGGGCGGGGCCACGCTGCGTGGCCAGGGCCGCCGCTCCGGGTCTCCCGCCGGAGTCGCGCGAGGGCAGCGCAGTTGCGGCGCCCTCCCAGTTCCGCAAGTTAGGGTCCGAGAAGCGCGGCCCGCCGCGCCTTCTGGCTTGTGTTTCCGGAGCTACCTGGCGGGGTTTCTCCCAGCCCGTAAAGAGTCGGCTCGAGTTGGCATCAGCCCCACATGTCAGGCTGCACGTGGAGGCCCCGCCCAGCTGCCCCGCGCGCGGTGCCCAGCCCCCCAGCCCTCGCGGGCGCCCCACAGTGGACCAAGCACTTCGCCACGCCCCGCCCCGATGCTCAGGCTGGGGGTTGGGTTCCTGCTCACCGGGGGGGGCCCCGAGGTGCGCTCCGCCGGTCACGGTGGAGGCCGACGCCTTCTTTGGGTGTCCCGCCTGGTTGCAGCTGGGGGGTCCCACGGCCGGGGCGGCCCTGAGGAGCGCTGCGGAGCCGGGGTGCGGCCCCGGCCGTCCCAGTCTGGGGGGCGGGCTCTGCGCAGAGTAGGGCGAGGGGTCCAGGGCGGGCAAGGGGAGGGCCTCCTTGAACTTCGCAGCCCCGGGGGTGGATGGGAGGTGGGCAGACAGGGCGTTCCCATTCACCCCACAAGCCGGTGTCGTCTGTGTAAGGGGGGGTGCGGTGGAGTCCCTGGAGGATCTCAGGGAGGATTTCAACAGCGTTTGCCGCAGGCCGCCATGGCATCAGACGAAGGCAAGCTTTTCGTCGGAGGGCTGAGTTTTGATACCAACGAGCAGTCGCTGGAGCAGGTCTTCTCAAAATACGGACAGATCTCTGAAGGTGAGGCTGGAGCTGGGCTGGCGGCCGAGCAGGGCCGCCTGTGGGGAGGGCTGAGTGCAGACTCTAGATCTCTCCTGTGCAGTGGTGGTCGTGAAAGACAGGGAGACCCAGCGATCACGAGGCTTTGGGTTTGTCACCTTTGAGAACATTGACGATGCCAAGGACGCCATGATGGCCATGAATGGGAAGGTGAGCGGCGGCTGCTCTGGGGGTGCAGGAGGTCTGGGTTTGCAGAGAGGGTGGGGAAGCACAGAGGCTAACCTGTGCACGTTTCTGGTTTCCAGTCTGTGGACGGGCGACAGATCCGAGTAGACCAGGCTGGCAAGTCGTCTGACAACCGATCCCGTGGGTATCGAGGTGGCTCCGCTGGGGGCCGGGGCTTCTTCCGAGGAGGCCGAGGCCGGGGCCGTGGGTTCTCCAGAGGTAAGTGCTACGCTCAAGGCCTGAGGCCGTCGGGAACACAGCGGGGACACTGCTGGTAGGCGATGGTGCTCAGCTTTTCTTGTCTTTGTCTGCAGGAGGAGGGGATCGAGGCTATGGGGGGAGCCGGTTTGAGTCCAGGAGTGGGGGTTATGGAGGCTCCAGAGACTACTACAGCAGGTGACGGCTGAGGACTTGCCCAGGGTGTGTGGGAGGCTTCTTTCCGGATGCTGGTGCAGGGCAGCGCTGCTGCAGGTGGCGTGAGTAGCCTGAAGTGTCTTTCTTGCAGCCGGAGTCAAGGTGGCGGCTATGGTGACCGGAGCTCGGGCGGGTCCTACAGAGACAGCTACGACAGTTACGGTAAGTCCCGCTCCGAGGGCACCATGCTGCCGGGGCCTGCGGCGGGAGCTCAGTAAGGCTTGGCGCCCTCTGCGAGCGACACTCAGACTTTTGTCACCGTGCTTGCCCGTAAGGGACAAGACTGCGCTCTCGGTCTCTGTGCCAGCAGCCATTTCTACTCCAAAACGTAAAGGCAAAAGCAGACTGACTAAGAAGGAAAGGGAGAGTGAGGGCCCCCCGAGCAGGCAGCATCCGTGCATGTGCGGCCGCCTGGCCCTGCAGCCCTGCCCTCAGCTGTGGGGGGGGTTGGTGACTCCCGAGGCTGCAGGGCCGAGCCCTCCAGGTCTGGACCCGGGAGTGGAATGCTGCGTCTTGTTGCGTGCTTCAGTGCCTTTACACTGTCCCTGCTTCTTGTTCTCAGCTACACACAACGAGTAAAAATCCTTCCTGCTCAAGATCGTCCTTCCAATGGCTGTATATTTAAAGATTTTGGGAGCTTCGCTGAATCGTTAATGTGTAGTGAACACACCTCCTTGTACCCCACTTTTGTAGTCTTATCCGTTCTGATCTTGTCAAACACAGCCTGACTGCTTCTGACCCCCAGATGGCCTCATTACTAGAGTTTTCTTTTTAAGGAAGCGCTGTCCGTTTTTAAGGGTTTTAAAAACGTTTTGAAAAGCACTTCAGAATTTTTTTTTTTTTCTTTTTACCATGAGCCATAAGTTTTTTAGGAAATCATTGGGGGTTGTGTGGGTTTCGGTTTTGGTTGTGTTGCCTTTTTTGTTTCTCTTTTTAGTGGGGTCAGGCCCGTGAAGTTGGGGGCCCCGATTAACTTCTCTTAAGATTGAACGGACTCTGAATCCGCTTTTTGTCGGAAGCTGAGCAAGCTGTGGCTTTTTTCCAACTCTGTGTAATGTTTCTGAGTGTAGCTGGTAGGACCCATCCTGGGGCAGTAGCAGAGGTGCTCTGGCTGCCCTGGGCCTGGCCTGTACGGCCCTTCTGTGCTATGTATGACCCACAGTAGACTTGCAGACGTCCCCTCGAGAGGTTCTTGAAAATGTTTATTTATATTGTCCTTTTTTACTGGAAGACGTATGCATATCCCATTGATGTTGTATTTGAAGTGGTTAAGGAATTCTTGTACGCAGTTTTCTTTGGCTTTACGAAGCCGATTAAAAGACCGTCTGAAATGAACCTTGCTCTGACAATTTCCCTTCATTGCACAACACACTCCCTGCTGCCGGTTCAAGGCAGTTGGAACTGAGCAGAGCAGTTTGAGAAGGAGGTCTGCCAGCCCTGCCTGAGGCCCCTGGAGAGCTAGACAGGGAAGGCTTGCAGGGCCCCTCGTGACAGCTGACTGCCATGGGTCCCGGCGTAGGTGAGAAGGCGGGTGATGGGGTGGGCAGCTTAGCAGGTACGGTGGACACTTGGGCACATGACGCCAACCCGGACCGCCTTAGTGTAGAGGCAGGCCAGAGAGTGGACAGCAGGTAGCGTCCCTGGGCGACCACAGACTGACCGGCTTGTTAGCTAGCTCTGCTGTTGCTTTACAAGTTCTGAGCTTTCACCGCTAGCCTATGGAAGCTGCAGCCCCTCGGAGGACAGAAGTGTTGTGCGCCCAACAGAACCCTCTGAGACGCAAGCTGCTCCCTTGGCTAGCTCATATGTGGAAGTAGCCCTGTAATTCGAGGTAACTCCTTTTGCTCGTGTCCGCATCCCTCCTGTCAAGAGCTCATTTGAAAGTAAAAGTTATGTACCTGGGGAATGTTCCTTTGACTGTTTTTCCTTTTCCATTTTTCTTTTCTTTTCTTTTTTTTTTTTAAATTAGCACTAAAGTCAGACCTCGGCCGTTGGCCCTTCCCCGCCTGCAGCCAGGCGAGTGGCCCGGGCAGTCATACCTCCAGAGTAGGTTTGATCCATAAGCAGGATTGGAGACCACCGAGTTTTTGTTCATCAATTGACAGTCTTTTCCAGACCTCCTTACCTCAGGCTCCTCACTAGCTTTCTCTGATGTCTCTTGCCGCCATGAGTTTTTCCCAGAGCCCCACACTGTTCTCTAAGCAGCTCCATCCCAATTGGGTAGCTGGCTCTGCTTAAGGGTGGAACGTGGCCTGGCCCATCTGAAAGGCGCAGGCCCACCCAGGGCACACCAGCCTGTGACGGGGCCTCAGCCGGGATGGCCCCGATGACTAGCTTGAGACCCTCCTAGGAGCTGTGGAGGGTTTCGGGGGGCGGGGGGTGGGGGGCAGCTGCCAGCTGTGGCCAGGACGCTGGGCATAACGCTTCTTTGCTTTGGCAGGTTGAAGGGAAGCCAGTGTGACTTGGAAGGGTGGCCAGAGAGCAGCGATGACCTGGGGTCACTGTCCCAGGAGGGCCTTCACCTGGAAGCAAGAGCCAGAGGCACGGCTACCTGGCCTCACACCATGTTACCTGTAAGTGCTGTTTTACGTTGGGGAAGAGGGCAGCCCTTTGGCCCTGGCTGTGCCTGGCCCATCCAGTGGGTTCTCCTTTCCTGGTCTCCTGCCCCACTGACCCCAGCGGGGGGTGGGGGGGGCAGTGTTCTGTGGGCTTTCTGCTGGACCCCTCTTTATCTCCCCTGCTGTTTGTTTTCCAGCAGGTGCATCACTGGGGAGGCTGAGGTGCCGGGGGTCCCGTTGCTCCGGGAGGGCCAGGTGTGTGGCAGCTCGCACCACAGCTAGGACTCGCTGTCAGCAGTAGCGGGACATGGACGTCGGATTTGAATAAAGGACTGGTGTGTCCACACAGAAATCTGAGTTTGGCTTGGGGTGCCGCCGTGGGGCCTGAGTGGGGAGGGGTTGTGCTAGAGAAACCCTCTTCTGGCCTTTGCTCAGGGCCCAAGCCGGAAGACCACCTGGCCACTTGGTTGTGTCCTTGCGCAGTTCTCGTGGGTTCTGAGGGCAGTCAGGCTGCCCAGTGCCCGTACGCCCTGGGCCCCCTCATCTGAGGCAGGCACCGCTCTCCCAGGGTCTTGGTAGAGTGACCCCTGGAGCCTCCCAGCTTGTGTGGCCTGCGGGGGCCGAGCCCGCCTCCTGGGCTGGTTGCCTCCTGCCCCGGTCTCGCGTGCAGAGCATTGGGGCTGACGCTTGGTTGTGCTGCCTCAGGCCCCGCGCTGCTCACCTCAACTCCCAGGAGGCTGGGGAGGGTGGTGGCAGGGAGCCCAGAGCCCCGTGAGTGCGGTCTGCGGCCCTCCCGCCGGTGGGGGGCGGCCCCCTGCCCAGAGCCAGATGCCCTCCCGCGCCGGCCCACCCCCCGGGAGAACGGCTGCGGTTCCCGGGGCCCTGGCTGGTACGGGGCGTCGGGGGAGCACTGCGCCCGGCGGTCTTGGCCCCCTCCGTGCGATCCGGGAGGCACTTTCCCAGGGAGGAGGCGTCTGCGTGTGGGGCTGGGGCTCGGGCTCGGGCTCGGGCTCGGGCAGGGCGGGGCGGGGCATCCGCGAGGGGGCGGGGCGTCTGCCGGCCGCGCCCCCGCAGGCCATTGGCCGAGGCCGCCCCCGCGCCCGTGAGTGACAACTGCTCGCGGAGGCGGGGCGCAGCCACCGCTTCCGCCGGGCCATGGGGCCGCGCGTGCCGCCGCCGCCGCCGCTCCTGCTGCTGCTGTTGCGGGCGCTGCTGCTGTGGGCGCTGCTGTGCGGAGCCCAGGACGCCGTGCCCCCGTCGTCGCGCCCCGCGCAGGCCACGCTGTCGCCAACGCCGGCCGTGACGAACGGGAGCCAGCCGGGCCCGCCGCACAACAGCACGTACTCGCGGCCGCCGGGCTCGCCGGGCTTGCAGCTGCTGCGTTCCTTCTACGTGCTCACGGGCCTCAGCGGCCTGGCCGCGCTCTACTTCCTCATCCGGGCGTTCAGGTGCGTCTGGCGCGCGCTGCCCCCGCCGTCCGGGAGCGGCCAGTCGTCGTGCGCCTGGCGCCCCACGTGGCGGTGCGAAGCCCCGCCCCCGGCGCAGCGCGGGCGTCACGGGGGCGGGGCGGGGCGGGGCGCGTCTCCGGGGCGCGGCTGCCTGCGCGGCGGCGTCAGCACCGACCGCGGCCCGCAGCCGCCGGGTCCGCTTCCCTGGTCGCGTGCGGCTGGCCGCGCAGGCCTCTCTGCGTCACCCCAGCGCCGGGCGCGCTCGGCTGCTCGGGCCTGCCGGTGGACCCTCCGCAGGCGCTTTCCCGCCGGGCCGTCCTCCCGGGGGCCTTTGCGCGCGGCACCGAGCGTGCCCGGACACTCCAGACGGCCCCTCCCGGTGCTCCGGTGACCGCGCCCCCAGCACCCGCTGCTCCCGACGCCTCAGCGGGGCCGTCTCCCTTCCCTGCCCCTGGCCGGGGGTCGGGAGCGGGGCTTCTGTCTGAGCCGCCCCT